GCTGCAATGGCAGGCAAAGAGGCTGAGAAGCACTCTCAGCAAGCAATATGGCCCGCAAACATCCCAAAAATTGCCTTCTATCATCGACTCCTTGTAAAGGGCAAAGAGACGATGGGAAGAACTTCGATGGTAAAAACTTTGCTGCTGGCCAAAAAATATTTCCTATACCTCCTATACCAAAGGTGACATCAAGGCAAATAGTAAAATGGACGGATTAAACAATCCATTTTTATAGAAAGGCGAAGGTTTCGGATCGGATTGATTGTCAGAGTGCCAAACAATGGCAGTAAATTGGTTTCGAAGAAGAAAATGAAGATGAAGATCGAAGATGGAAAATGCGAAGCATCCATGCATTTATAGGGGGTGGAGATGAAGAGACAGAATATGAACAGCCACATTTCTGCCTAGTAAATGGAATTAAATAGCCCAAAATCTTAGGAAAAGTGGTGGAAATATCAAAAGTAAATGGGCAAGATTTTTAGCACGAAGCAGTTAAATGCTTGAAGAATTGACGACTAAAAAAAATAAACGTCAAATAAATGCACAAGAAGTTAATGTTCATTAATGATGAACAAAGTTACAAAGGGAAAATCAAATTACAAAAGAAAAAGGCATCATATGTCTTAATTACAGTCCACCCCACACTGAACGAATTCGTTCCCTAAGTTTTTCCCAATCCTCGTTCTGCCGAGAGGAAGTGATGTTCAATTCGACCACGACATCATCATCAACTTCCAACTTCTTGTACTGCTCAACCAAGGACTTAGTTCGCTCAATTCCCTGGGAGGCGTTGCATTTTTTAGCAGCCATTCTCGCCCTGCAGTCGTCCATTTTGGCTTGAAGTTCCTTCATCTGAGCAGCCAAATTAACCATCAAAGAGTCTTCAACCATGACTTCGGAAGAGATTTCTTTCTACTCGTCCTCAGAATTGTTGATCTCCATACGCAAAGACTCTTTCTCAGCTACGGCTCGAAAATATTGAGTACTTCAGCATTCTTGGCCAGCAAAGAAAGGACCTCAGAGTGGATAACTTTCAACGTCGTTTTAAAATCGGCAGAAAGTTTGAGCGACGGAAGCGTCAGTGCTTGCTCCAACTTTGCATTCAGATGCTTAAGTTTATCCTTGTGTCTGGCAGCACTAGCCCTTCCAATGTCCATATCCATAAAGGACACGTACTCAAATATCGACTCCTTGAGGAACTTCAAATCTTCCTCTGAAGAAGTAGCAGGACGATCAGATGGAGTAGGGCGAGACGTCTGGACTTACCCCCAGGAAGCGAACAAGTGTTGGATAGAACGCAAAATCTTGTCAGCATCCTGCAAAGAAAGTTGTTAATATTGAAGATTCTCACTACAACGAACAAGATAGAAATAAAAGTGAAGCAAAGATTACCTCATCAACAATCGTGGAAGATGGCATGTCCTCAGCCAAATCTGCCACCAATGACTCCTCCATTCGTGAGGACTTCCCTTTGTCTGAGTGAGAAGATGTTGCCACAACGGGCGGACTCATAGGAGTATCTGCAAAACTCAAGAGCAACAAATCAGAAACCAACAGCACAAGCAAAGGTAAGACATCAAAAGACTGAATTACCTTCTGCTTCGATGTTTGGGGGGTTGACGCCCTGGGAAAAAGGTGGTTCATCCATGGGTTGTGATGAGGACTCTGGGATTGAAGATATCTGTTTAAGCGTAGCCCCCTCATCAACCGGTTTGGATGAAGTAGCCTCAGCGGAGGATGATAGAGCAGGAGCTGTCGATGCCAAAGCCTTTGAAGGAGAGGCTGAGCTTTTCTGAGAAGTCCAAAAGATCATCAGCACACAGAAAAATTTCAAGTATGGAAAAGTATGCTTGTGAGTAAACCAATTTAATTACCTTCTTCCTGACGATAAGAGGGGCATCATCATCATCATCAACATCATCCTCCAGAATGGGAGATGCTGAGGCTGGCCGTTTGCGGCTTGGGGCACTCTTGGCTGTAGTAGACTTGGCAGGGAGAGAAGAAGATGGACGAGCAGACTGTTTAGTGCGACGAGAAGGAGAAGGACTCCGAACGGACAAAGGAGTGACTAAAACAGGAGGAGGGGAAAAAATGCTTGACTGATCTAGTGAATGAAAGGCACGATTGGCGTCAGTCGCAAATAATCTGCGCTTTACTGACGGCCAGAGCTGTTCAAAAAGAGGGTGAATGGCGTGGCTAGAATTGAAGGGGGCTAATGAAAAATGGCTGGTTAAAAGAAGATTGCGAGCATTTATAGCCTTTGCCTCCGCCTTATTAATAGTATGAAAACGGTCAATTAAGTTCCTTGAATAGCAAGGAGGAACAGGCCAAATTTGGCCGAAACCAAGCTGGCGAGCAAAAAATTGGGGAGCATAAATTTCTACCACCGCCTTGGCATTGGTCCCAGTCAAAATATCATGAAATAGCTCTCTCCCGATTAAAAACTGGATCCAAATAAGCAGGGAGGTGCTCGCACTGTCTATAGTGGAGGGGGGGTGTACATAGTTTGGAGTCAAAAAAGGAGGAAAAGGAAAAAAGGAAGAGATTGAATCCAAAGAATAAAAGAATGAAAAAATATCCCTTCTGGACATATTTACAGGAGCCAAGAACTCCATAGATAGCCCATAACAGCTAGCAGAGGAGCGAGAAATTGATGGAGCACCAAGCAATGGAAAATAGGATCTCGACCACAGTTGAGTGAACCAAAGAGGTCCACTGCCAGTGGGAGATGCACCATTCTTCAATTGAGTTTGAAGAGAGGTCGTGCCTCTATAAAGGGCAGCCAAAAAGAAAGAACATAAATTCAAAGGCCTGCCACGCGCCAATTCGTGCGCTATAGGTAAATAACTCAGGGAGGGCTTTATGCTTGGCACACACAAAACATATTTACAAAGCCAAACTAGAAGGAAAGCCACTCGCTCAGTATGGGAAGGCTCAGCGCTCGAATGATTGTGAAGGGTTTGCAGGCTTGAATAAGATTCGGTGTAGTTTTTACCAAACTTTGGAGCGCCACCAAAAACCAAGATACCAGGAAAAATGGTATCGCCCAAAGATGGTAGATTCACCAGGGCCCCAACATCCCTTAAGGTAATAGACATGGGGTCAAGAGGGAAAATAAAGGTATTATACTCGGAAGACCAAAAACTCAAAGCAATCGAAAAGAGTGCTGAATCAAAAGTAGGAGGGCGAATAGAGATTTCTAACAAATTAGAAATAATAGCGCTATCAAAAAGTGCCTTAGTAGGACCATGACCCACAAGGCGAGCATGCTACCTACGGAAAGCTACATCAGATTTAGGCCAAGTGCAAATACCTCTTTCGTGAAGTGGCCCCAGCGGCAGAGAGTTTAGAAATGGAGGGCCTTGAGTGCAAGGAAACAGCTGACCCACCGCCGCCTGTTCAACTGCCTCTGCATTGTTGAAGAAAGGACCCAAGTAGAACTCATTACGTTCGACATCGGCGGGCGCGAGAAAACTCGGAGTTATGTATGGGCGACTCAGAATTTTCTGAAAGTCATCAAAACTAAAGGAGTCGCCAGCTTGAGATTGTGAAGTAGCCATTTGAGAAGGAACGAAATTTTTCAGGGTTACGTAGCAGGGAAGCAAAAGATGAACAGTAAATCGTGAGAAAGACGCAAAAAATTTGAGGCGTGATTTAATGGTGCAGTGAAATGGCGTGTTTGGTGGTTATAAGGGTTTGCAAAACGACGCACCTTTTCAAGTTACTAAAGAAAACAATGATTGAAATTCTTGGGAATTTCGAATGTTGCTGGAAACACAAAGTGAATATGACAAAATTTAATAATTATTATTAATTCTGCCATATTGGGGGGTAATTGTTGACACATAAAAATTCAGCCCAAATCGAACGGCTCAAGGAGTGAAGCCCAATTGGAGGATCTCCAAATCAGATAGTCTAAAAAACGAAGTCCAATCAAACAAATCAAGTGAAGGCCCAAATATGGAGGCCCAAGAACGAGGTAACGCCATTGCCCAAGTTTGCAAGTCGCCCAGAATCTGAGTGAATGGAGTGCCATACAGTTGCCAAGAGCTGTTACTCTATTCTCACCCAAACCTTCAAGTCGCCCAAGGTCTTAACAAACATAAAGCGTTGTGGTTATTAAGAAGTGCAGTTATCAAAGCAGTTATTAAAGCAACCCTATCACGTTTCACGATTCAAGGAACTCAATCGAAAGCGGTTGAACGACGAAGAGCAATGACAGCAGTTAAAAAAGGCAGTTTTCATGACAAGTTGACCATTACGAGGAAAGTGGGCAGTTATAGGACGATCAAACAGTTTTTAGGCGGTTGATTACAAAGAGATCGTCCATGAAGTATAAAAGGGAGAAAAAACATAGAGCAAATGATCGAATCAAAAACTCTCGAACAGAGAACATGTAATTTTAATTTCCTTAGCTTAGATTTAAACACTTTTTTCAATAACTCGTGTACTTGAACCTCTTGGAGGCACTTTATTTTTAATTTTCAATTGTAAAGTCATCGCCAATAAAAAACACTCCTTTTTGAAACTTTGTCTCAACACAATCGGCTGATCCCTTTTAATTGTTAGCTTTACATAATCGGCTGATCCCTTTTAATTGGTAGCGACTAACCTCCCGAAACGGTAACAATAAAGAATTGGGAAATAATGGAAGCAGGGACTAGTGGTGCCGGTGGCTCTGATGGTGGCGTTGGCGTTGAAGGTGTTGATCATAAGAAGCAGTGCCGTAGGACTGGGTCCAGAGGGACATGGAGGTGCAAGTCAGAAGCTGTTCCTGGCAAGGCTCTCTGCCAGAGCCACGAAATCGTTTGTACGAGAGGAGCAAAATGAGGAAACTCCAGCACAAGAAAAATCAAGAAACCGGAGGTGGAGGGAATTCTAAAGCCGTTTCTGTAAATAGGGATGTGGGTGGTGGCGGGAAGCGGCACGAGGCAAGAAAAAGAAGGCAATTGAGGGCAGAGAAAGTGAAGGACAAGTGGGTGTGGTTGCTGGGGATGAAATTGAGGTAATGCATGTGGGCAATGATGAAGACAGTGAGGATGAAGTAAGGACTGTTGGAGTCAGAGGAAAGGGGCAAATCTTAGGTACGGTTGGGTTGATGCCTCTGGCAGGAAACAAGATAAATCTGGAGAAACTCATACATCGTCCGACAATATTGGGAGAGTCTTAGGCAAAGAATGTGCAGACGATAACGAGGGAGATGGGACTATTAAGAAATATGATGGTGGTGGCAGATTACTTCAATCAAAGGGTGGAAGAGGGCGACTCAAGGGTTCAAAAAATAGGACGCCTTCTGACAAGAAAGGGTGTACCAGGCCAAAGGGGCTTAAGAAAAATACGCAGCTGGTTGGTTCTAGCGAATTTCAGATGTCTTCTGAAAGGTTTAATGTTCTCAAATTTGAGGATTCTCAGAAGATGGAGAAACCTCAAAGGACCCACATTGCGGAAGATAACGAATTTGCATGCATGGGCGAGGAAACAGCCCATCGATTGCGGGAATGTCGGTGAGTTTCTTATCTTTTTACTCTTATTTGATCCTAGTTTAGTGTTTTTGTGTATTAATTAACATTCAATAACGTAAAGGCTAAGGACATATGGATGTCAACGGTTTAGAATAACTAACATTAATCTATTATCGTCTTAGTTACCAAGTTCAGACTATAATAATGGTTGCCAACTGTTGCCTTAGTTATACAATCCAAATCAGGATAATAAACAACACAATAGACTTAAGCTTGCGATGGCCCACCATCATTGGTGCTACTTTTAGCAATTACTGCGGAGGATCTAACGAGTATCAACGGATTCAATAGTCATCGACTCATTCAGAATAAGACACATTTTCAAGGACGAGATAAAGTCTGTGTGGGGTTATAGGATTGTTTAGTAAAAAGTATTATGATGTTCCAAAATGATATAAATTTGGGCTGATTTATTGCTGGGAAATGCATGGGATCAAAGTGATCTTCACCTGTCCCAATAAGTTGATGGCACACACCATATGGATACTTCAAATGAATTGGAGTACGTCAAACCACAGTGTTGCCTTGTATATTGCGTTCTCTGTCTTTATTTTTTAACCTGTTTTTAGCTTGTTTGGTTGTTTATAGTTTCTTAAGTTTTCTGAATATTGAAGATTGTTAGACCATACCATTTTGGGCACTATAAGGATGCGTTTGATTGCACACATTTTCCATGGAAAATGGGCCTAATTTCCTACTTTTGTCTTTTTTGATTGATAATTTATTCCAAGGAAAATATTTTCCTTGTTTTGGTCACGTGACCACATTTTCCTTGAAAACAAGGAAAATATTTTCCTTGGGGGAAGGTGAATTTTATTTTCCATGGAATTTAACCCTTCCAAAAGTTCTAGGTAACCAACAACGTGAATATCTCTCTCTCTCATCTCTACCCACCCACGCACAAATCACTACCTCTCTCTCATCGATTCTCAACCAGGAAGACGTCTCTCTCATCCATTCAACCGAAGCAGGAAGAAGAAATTGACCGACCAGGAAGGCGTCTCTTATCAATTCAACCGACCAAGAAGAAGAAATCTACGAGGCGGTGACTGCATAGATTCAGGTTACTTTAATAATAAAACCACAATATTTGATTTCTATATGTTTAATTCTTAATTAAATTGAGTACAAAGCGAACACGGATTTCTCGTGATTGGATGCGAACACTGATTCCAGAATTTGTTTTTATTTTTCTTGATTTTGAGATTCCACACGATTGTATGAGAACACGGATTCCAGAATTTTTCTTATCCGTAATGACCCCCAATTCTGTTTCTGTGATGGGCTCTGTAAGGTGGAGGTGGAGTTGGAAAGAAATTGGGTTCTGCAAGGTGGAGGTGGAGCTGGAGAGAAATTGGGTTTTCTGAGGGTATTCCGGGAAATTTCTGGCTATAGTGAAGTTTGATTATTGCTGCCTCTCGAATATGGTTATGATTTACAGGTTTTTATATGTTCTTTTCAAGCGCTGGTATCGAGTACTTGTTAGTAGAATCTCAGATATTGGTTGAGACAGCCTCAGATGGTATCCAAGTGGTTGGATTTCGGAGCTCAACATACACAGTTTTGTTACGAATCATATCGTTTCTGAAATTGCTTCTGTTTTTAGTCCATTATCTCGTCCAACTTCGTTCCACATGTTGTTGATGTTCCTCGACATCGATCATTGCCATCTTAATTTTTTTTATCACAGCAAAGACTTATTTGTGGTCTTTTGGAGTGGTTCAATATGGAAGGTATAGAAGAGATTGCTCCCATTAGCACAACAGCTGTTGTCACTCTTTGGAAATTGGAATGGTTATCCCTTAGCTTAGATAATTTTTTGGGGCAAATTCTATCTTTTAGTGCTAAAAGGTGTGCTACGTACTGTGTCAACTGAAAATCTTCTACCATCGGATTAAAATACGGAAAGCCTCTAATGGCTCTTTACATATACACCTTTGTACAGATGACTTGTGTTGGTTGATATACGAACCAAAGTCTTGGTTCACTCTTGCTTGATCCAAGATTAGTGTTTTCGTTGAAAGCGCTATCTTACGAGAGCAAATAGGAAAGAATCTCCCACATTATTGCCATTCATAAGTTAAGGGAAACTAGTGGTTAATATGTCAACAATGTTTTTAACTTAATATTTTTCTTACAGGATGCCACCAAACAGAGTTACAGAAGGATCACCAGGGGTCAATGTGTCACCAATGCCTGAAAAGTGACAATGTTGATGTTGTCATCTGTTCAAAATGCAAGTCGAAACGCTACTGTTATGAGTGCATTGCAAAGTGGTAAAGAGACTTACTGGTTCTTTTCACTGACTAAATAAAAAATATATATTTTTCATGAATGATCACTGGTGTCATAGATTTTGAGGTTGGAAATTGAAGAAACTTAACCTATTACGCGCCTCAAATTTCTTTAAGAAGTTTCATGGAATATACTAATGCTAATCTATGTGGTTGATGTAATTATATTTATGAGCTGGTTGGTAAATATCTGGATACATTTTTGATATTTGTATAATGAACAAGGTATCCCGAGAGGACGAAGGAGGAAGTTTTGAGAGCATGCCCATTTTGCTGTGGGAATTGCAATTGCAAAAATTCCCTTAAAGTACTCGAAAAGGTATCATGATCTAACTTATACTATAATTGTTATACGTTATTCATCATGCATCCACTGTGGTGTTTCCGTATTTATAGACGTTTTTGGGTTTTTCTAGGGGTGCTGCCAAGAAACCGGTCATAGTGTCAGACTGGAAAGGTCCCTATATTTGCTAGTTAACGTTCTACCTGTCCTGAGGCATATACAACAAGAGCAGAGGTCTGAGTTAGACATTGAAGCCTGCATACATGGTACCATACTAATGTCGGTTTTGTTTTTCTTCTTGTTGACATATATTACTCAGAATGTTTGATAATGCCTTTGTGGCTATATTATTTTAAGGTGTTCATTTTACTGAGGATGATATACTGGTTGCAGTACTTGAGGAAGATGATCAGATATACTGGTATGTTCGCCAGCTGTGACTTAATTATTTCTTCTTATCTCTTGAATTGAGGCTATGATCGAGCAGAAATCACTATGGATTTTCTGTTTTCGGGGTTTGACTAATTTTTGAAGCTTTTAAGCACAGCCATCTGGTAATGAGGTTTTTGACTGTGGTTTCAAAAAGGTTTCAAGTGTTTCAAAAAGTGGAAATTACACGTTGAAGTAGCTGGACTAAACTAGACCTAAATGTCAATATTCCATTATTCTAAACGCTTTATCTTTTTCTTTTGTTAACATTTTTCTGCATTACTCAGAATCTGTGGAGTTCCAAGACATTCTTTAAATTGGTCATTGAATTTATGTTCTATTTTTTAAGATTCTCATTTTAATTTTGCATTTTTTCACTGTGCTCATGGTGGTTTCAACTTGTGATTTCTATCCCGAGCATCGTTCTTTTCAATATTTGGCTTAATACTCAGTATACTTATGGGTGTTCTTTTGTAATTTTTCTTTAGACTTTTTATGTTGCAGAATGGTTCTACAATCTCGAGATACCATTTCTTCCTTTTTTTACTGTAGTTTATGATTCCACAAATCTCAATATTGCAATCTTCTTATTAACAGTGACAATTGCAAGACATTCGTTGTCAATTTCCACAGAAGCTGCCAGAATCCACATTGTTTTTATGATCTCTGCCTTGATTGTTGTTCTGAGCTCAGAAAAGGTATTCAGCCTGGAGGTATTGTGCCAAAAACTCTTCATGCATCTGTTGAAACGAGTCAGGATCAAGTAAATGGCCATGTACATGACATGTCTTTTGTTTTCCCTAAATGGGAAGCGAAGATTAATGGCAGCATACGATGTCCTCCCAAAGAGCATGGAGGTTGTGGTTCTGAGGATCTAGTGCTCAGACGCATTTTTGATGCAAATTGGGTGGAAAAATTAATGAGGCAGGTGAAGGACCTTACATCTGGTTACCAGTCAATGCACATAGAATTTTCTCAAAAATGTATGTTGTGCCTTGTTAATTCAGAAGTAAGACAAGCAGCATGCAGGGACGACAGTCAAGATAACTTTCTGTACTGTCCTAATGCTATTGATCCAGGAGATTCGGATTTTGAACATTTTCAAATGCACTGGAAGAGTGGTGAAACTGTCATTGTTAGAAACGCAATGGAAAAGGCCTCGGGTCATAGTTGGGGGCCATTGGTGCTGTGGAGGGCCCTCAAACATGCGAGCAAAAAATTAGAAGCACGGAATTACTGTGTGAAGGCTATAGACTGCATCAATTGGAGTGAGGTAAGTGTTGAGTTTTATTTGTAGTTATTTGTTACATGCATTTTCCTCTGTTTGTTTGTGTTTGGTGCACGTGAGTTTTATCCAGTTGCCACCGCTGTTCCTTCGACGCATTCTTGCGATCATTTATAAGGGGAATCACACTGCATTGTTATTAACGATGTATTAAATGCAATATTTGGAATTTAATGTAGAAAACCATGGACTTGTCTGATCGAGGTTTCTTCCCTTATAAAAGAGGACGGTTATTGAGTTCCTAAGTAAGTTCAATTCAACTGTTGATTGACCAAGTTCTACACATGAAAGATTCTCGTCGAATCAATTAATTTTTATGGACTTCAGAATTAATTGGATTGTAGTAGAATAGGTAATTCTTAGGTGGTTTGCCCAAAAAAAAGAAAAAAAAAAAAAAAGGAATCTTCTAGCTGACCCCATGTTTATCGGGGATGAGGCTAGATTGTTGTTATTGTCCTTGAGAATAAATTGAAAGCTTGTTGGCAATTACCATTAGATGCAGGCAGTTTAAATCACTGGACGAGAAACTATAGTTATTATATTAACATTTCTTCCATGTTACAGGTTGAGATTAATATTGATCAGTTCTTTAGGGGCTACTTAGAGGGCCGTAAACATATAAATGGTTGGCCTGAAATGCTGAAGTTGAAGGACTGGCCACCTACAAGTTTATTTGAAGAATGTTTATCAAGGCATGTCTCTGAATTCATGGCCTTGCTTCCCTTCAGTGATTACACCCATCCTAAATCTGGTCTCTTGAATCTTGCTACCAAGCTTCCCGAGGGTGCCTTAAAACCTGACTTGGGACCTATAACTTATATTGCCTATGGATCTTTAGAAGAACTTGGTGTAGGCGATTCAGTTACCAACTTACACTGTGACATTTCTGATGTGGTAAGCTTGTACTAACATTGCTGCTCTTATTTACTGTCACATTTATTGGACTCATTGGTTTGGATTTTCCCACAAAAGTAATGATTGATATTTCCAGTGATAGGGAGTGGTCACTTTTAAGGAAAATTTCGTATTTGATGTTGCTTTAATTGTATATAAAATCAGAATTTTGGTGTTTTTCTCGTCTTTTATCAATATCAAAGATCCAATAACTCTCATGTTTTATCACTGGTGTTAAACCACAGTGACAAAATTTCGAATTTTATTTACTGATGGGTAATGCTTAATCAAACTTACCAAACACGACATTACTGCTTTTAACTGTACACTTCTGATGGGCAAATAATATGTTACCTTTTCTACATATGCTTATTGCATTTTCTTTCCAAATAAACGATTCCTAGATGACCTGATAAAAAATAATAGTCATTGGCCAGTCTTATTTAAGGACATTAGTTTGTCTTTTCCGATACTCATTAACGTGTCATTATCTCTGAGGCTTAGAGTAGTATTATTTTTTGTTCTCACTATCCCAATATGCTCCATTTTGGTTCATTTTTCTATTTGTCGATGCAGTCTAATCTTTGATGTAGTTATCAAGGTTTTTTCAATTTGTCTTTGTGTGCCATATATAGAATCCCAACTTACTTTTAATTTGTATCTATCACAGGTTGGTTTTTGATTCCTTTGACAGCATTATCATTTAATTTTTCCCTTTGTCAATATTAGATTAGTTTGCTTCTTGTGCATTTGCCTCACCAGCCAAAATACCATTTAGAATATGTTTGACGTGGCAGTGCTGGACGAGACCAAAGAGCATAAAGAGAAAACTAAGGATTTTTTCTAATTTAATACTGTCTATAGTCCTTACCAAAAAGCACTAATAATTCCTCAGAAAAGATATTTTAACGAGTATGTGTTTCAGGTGAACATATTGACGCATACTACGGAGACGATGACTACCTTACTGAGAATAAAAAGTAATGCTAACACGAGAAGGGAATCTGAGTTTGAGATTTGACCATGCCCAATGATTCTCTTCGAAGTGTCGAAGACTATCCCAAGACTGTACTTAGAGGTGCTGTTTGGGACATTTTTCGTAGGCAGGATGTGCCCTAATTGACGGAATACTTGCAAAAGAATTGTAAAGACTTTAACCGTTTTAAAACGTCTACTTCAGATTTTGTGAGTACTTATTGGTTTTCAAATATCTATTGTAGTAAGAAGACTCGATTTTGTCTTACCACATAAAAAAGGTTAAACCCTAACCTTAAGGGTCTCCCACAGCCTTTTTATCTAAATGAGGTGCACAAGAAACATCGCAGGTTATGCCTCCAAGGGTACAGGGTGCCTAATTGACGGAATACTTGCAAAAGAATTGTAAAGACTTTAACCGTTTTAAAACGTCTACTTCAGATTTTGTGAGTACTTATTGGTTTTCAAATATCTATTGTAGTAAGAAGACTCGATTTTGTCTTACCACATAAAAAAGGTTAAACCCTAACCTTAAGGGTCTCCCACCACCCCTGCCCTGGAGTATCGTGAGGGAGGTAAATCGCAGGTTATGCCTCCAAGGGTACAGGGTGAAAGGCTACTTGTACACTTGCACTTACCCAAGGGCCAAATCCATATTTCAGGATTTGAACTCTTGACGCAGCAGCCTTAAGCAAAGCTGAATTTCTCCACCCTCCCCTTTTACTACTTGGAGATGTGCCCCGGGGGCAATTTTGTCTTACCACATAGCTTCTGCTTTAGGTTGTTCATCCTATTCATGACCAGACTTTTTATCTAAATGAGAAGCACAAGAAACAGTCGAAGGAGGAGTTCGGTAAGATTCATTTTTTTGCTTAATCATGTTTATTATGAAATTACACGAAGAAATTTTACCAGAATATTTTATTTCCTTCCTATCAGGAGTTGAACCTTAGACGTTTGAGCAATACCTTGGTGAGGCCGTGTTCATTCCCGCTGGATGCCCACATCAAGTGCGAAACAGACAGGTAAACCTTTTGTAAAATATCCTTATTGAATAACATATGCACGTCGGATTATTTTGCTATCACCTTCTCTCCTCTTATAATGACGTAATGGTTAAATAAAGTTACCTTGTTCATCAGTCTCGTATGAAAGTCACTGTTGAGTTTGTATCCCCTGAGAATGTTCAAGAGTGTATCAAATTGACAAAGGAGTTACGTTTACTTCCTCAAAATCATATATCTAACCAAGATCAACCGGAGGTAAAATTCTATCTTTAAACAATATTATTACTGTGAATCTCACAATGCAAACATGAAATTCAGTATTGATATTTGACGGCTTTTATCGATATTCATTTTGTGTTTAGTACAGTGTACTAGACATGACTTGACAGTATAATGAACAAGATTTTAGCTCTTTTTTCTTCCTTGATATTGTCTATCGTGTTATCCCTACCAAACATGCTTGTAGCATGTAGTCTTTTATATGAAACTTCCGGGCTAAGGAAAAAGCACTCGAATCGAATGATAAAATTTTTTATCTTCCGTTTGGCTATGACGGCCATGATCGATGTACTTTAGGTTTTTCATGATCAAAATTATATTTGCTACAGGTGAAGAAGCTGGCTATTTTTGCTGCAAGTGCTGCCACGACTGAAGCTAGAAATCTGACGTCTAAACTTAAGTAAAATTTCTTGTACTCTTCGATATGTTCTCTTTTGCATTCTTTTTCGATTTAGTCTTGAATGATTCTGTACTTGTTGCTAATGCTGCACATTCTTCATAGGAAAGCTGATGAATAGAATTCTCATGTGGTCCACTTAGCACAGAAGGGTGACACCTGGGGCAAGCTGTTGAAGTGTGAAGGCTCTCTAGGAACAGAACTGGAGATACGGAGGAATTTATTATTGATTCAGAGGATTGAGATCGCCATTTATGATCCGCAGAATTCAGAAAGTTTTTCACTCCTCCGATAAACCTTTGTTGTCCTGTTCAAACTCGTATTTTTCTGAAGTATGTTTAGGTTTTAACCTTTGTACATATGTTTAAGCACATGGTGCCCCATACAAACTAGAAACGTTACATTTTGGTAGACATATATGCTTTATCATAGCATTATAGATAGAAATGTCAGTAGGTCAGTTCTGTGTAAGCTTATTGTAATGCATCATGTTGTGAAGTTTCTGCTGTATCTAGTTGTTTAAGAACATTTTCCCTACAAAATTCAGTTCCGTTATAACTTGTTTTCATATTTCCTCTTCTAGAAATCGAGCTTCATTTTTTATGCTTCAAACCTGCTATAAGAGGCTGAGGTTCTGGCATACAAATGAATGAAAACATAGCTTGAGAGTAGTGACCTTGAGTTTTACAATTGAATGTAGTAATACCTATCATATATGTAGGCCTGATATCTTGCTACATCAGCAGTGTGAAGCTTTTATCCTGCCCAATGGAGGCGGGAGATCAATTTCAATCGTATATGTACTATGCATGAATATGTGTCAATTGGAATAGTTTGAAGTTTTCACTCCATTTGCTCGTTTGAATTGTCATGCGGCTCTATAGTGTGATGTTGTCATCATATTGAGACTAGGTATCAAATCAGTGATTTTTGCAAGATTTCATTACAAATCCTCTAATGATATAAGAGGCTTAAACTTTCCCATTCTTTACTCATTTTTGGTCCTTGGAAGACGAATACAACGTTGTATTTGTGCTGTCATCCTGATTTTTATATGAAACGATGTCATTTCATTGGCGTTGGCTTGGGTGTTTCTCTTTCTCATGTCGTTGTGTTTCATTCTCTCCCCAATTGCGAAAAATTTGTTCTCCTGTGCTCACTGTTTGAAAAATTTTCTTGCCTTCTTGCGTTCTTCCTGCTAATGTGGTTGGAAGTTTGTTATCTTCTTCTGCATTTTACTAATATCACTATTCATAGAGGCTTCAACATAGTACATCTATTGTTTATCATTATTGTATACTCCGATGCGTGTCCAAAATTTGCTTCGTCTATATTGTGAATTCGGGCTTTAATATCCATTTGGATTAGTCGAATCTTATGGCATTAGTTTGTTTGCGAGTGAAATTTCACTATTAAACATTTCGTGGGGTCTTTTTTGTATATAAAAATACATAATTCCCTTTTGAACTTGTGACTGAACAAAATTTTGACAATAAGTTGAATCTTCTATTTCTCGATGTTTGTAAAGCTTTATCTCATCAAGGCGATTGATTGTAAATAAATAACATCTTGTCTAGATATGTTGGCGTGTTTTATTTCATTTTCTTATAGGTAGGCAGGCAGGCATTGGATATTTTGAGTCATCTTTCCTTCCTCAGAACTTCCAAACCAGTTACTGTCACGAAGAAGTCTCCAAAGTCTTTACGACATCGTTTTACTGATATTTTATCTGAGTTTAACCCTTTCCTTTCCTTCCCCCCAAATATTTCCCGGAAAAAATAAATCCTTAAATCTCAGTTTCGTTGAATCCCAAACCCATATTCGAATTATCAATATACTCTAAAAATCCTTTTTTTACACCGTTTTCTTCGCGTTACTGTCTAAATTCTTGGAAAGTTCCTTAAATCTTTAAAATCTTATCGCAATTCACTTAAATTTTCACTTTTTTCCCCAAACTCATCTCTATTATCACTCTAAACGTCAAAAATCCATTTTTTAAAATTAAAATTTATTTTTTTATGCTGCCATGGCTGCTGTTTTAAGGTCGAAATCATCGCGAGATACTGCTTCGTTTGCTTCCTCGCAGCTCAGAAATTACATTCAGAACCATATCCACGCGGGTCGGACTACCCTTTTCCAACGGAGTGCCAGAACGGGACTTGATAATTATTTGAATAATTATAATTTCATCTCAGGCTCTCCCTTTAATTTCACACCATTCAAGCCCATCTCTCTGCGCGGCGAATATGTCGATAGTGGCCGGAGGAATTTTCCGACTTCTTTTAGGATTAAGAGGAAAGTTGACAACTTTAGCTCCCAAGGGGACCCGCCTGAGGTCAGGCAGCCTCCTGGAACGGATGGAACTGTAGTGCGCTCGGAAGTTAAATTTATTCAGATGAGTGAAGGGGCTGGACCAAGTACGGGCTCTGGTGGTGGGTTTGGGTCGGGCTCCAAGGATGAGTGCTGGGTTGGATCCAATTTTGGCCTGAATTTTCCAACTCCTAAAGAAATCTGTAAGGGGCTGGATAAATTTGTGATAGGCCAGGATAGAGCTAAAAAGGTCATCTTTTTCAGTTTAATGATGATTTGGTTGGTTATTTTCGGAGTTTTTAGTTGCGATGAGTTGAAGGATAAACAACTTCTTCTTTTTTTAGATTCTTATGCCTTATATTGAAGGTTTTACTATGTGTTTATCTAAAATGATATTGTCATTGTGGTTAAATTGAATTTACTGATTGCAGGTCCTTTCTGTAGCAGTTTATAATCATTACAAGAGGATATATAATGATTCGGCTCAAAGGTAATAACTTATGACCTTCAGTTTCACATTATTTACACTTCTGCAGTTATCATGCAGTATACCAGGTAGGCTTTGAATAACATTTGATGGAGTTATCAGTTCATATGGACTTCTAACACTTAGCTTCAATTGTACCAAATTATTATCCGAATTTTGAGTTTCGGAAATTACTTTAATGGATCTTGGGTAAATTATTATTGACATATGTTTATATTTGCCTTCATTTTCTGCTGCTACTCTGTTGACCTTGATATGAAAGTGTCTAATGTTAGTGTTATACTTGGAAGTTAGGTCTGCAGGGAGTACAGATAGTGTGAAAGTGGATGGAACTGATAACGAGACAGTAGAACTTGAGAAAAGTAACATTCTACTAATGGGACCAACAGGCTCAGGTGATCTTAATAATATTTCTGTTCTCTTCTCGAGTGTGACGGATTTCACCTCTTGTATATTATACAGTATAATGGCTAAAATTTTTATAGAGTTTTCCAGTGATATGGAGGCATAAAATTTTGAGACGTTATATTGTCTAATAGCGGTTTGGAATAGCTTGATACCATTAGAAATAATTGTACTTGAAATGAAACTCTTCTCATTTTATCATTATTCTGTTTGATATTGGCTTTAATTTTAATATTTTTGGTGGTTTTTTAAGACAACAGATATATGACTTGTCAAAAGGAGGAGTCAGCAGCTGTTATTTATTGATTTTTAAATGTTCTCTCTTTAGTCTTCCAATATTACTTTTTCACTTGTCTTCTTTGAATGTTTCATTAAGGACAGGGAAGACGCTACTTGCCAAAACTTTGGCGCGGCTGGTGAATGTTCCCTTTGTCATTGCCGATGCTACTACACTTACTCAGGCACGTTGTTAATTTATCATTCTATTTGGAGGAGGAGGATGTATTTCTGATTTCCTATGAACTAACTGTAGCATTATGCTGTGCATGTGGCCCTCAATACCCAAATCATAGCATCTCTCCTATTGATTTTCATGACATTATTGTTGCAAATTTATGTGAACAAGGTTTGCTCAGTTTTTCTCTGTACAAGTTAGAGGCACATAATCATCTGACAGTTTGATTATATTTCACCAAGTTTTGTGTTGAGCTTCCTTAAAAAGATGCAAAAATGCATTATTTCTATTCTGATAAAGATGTATATCGTTTTTGCAGGCAGGATATGTTGGGGAAGATGTGGAATCCATTTTATATAAGCTACTTACGGTAAGCTCCATGTAGTTTACTCGATGTAAGTGGAATCAGTGTTTATTGTGACGATCTTTTCCCTGTTAAGTTCCCGTCAGCTGTGTTTTTATTCTCCCCAATTTTCTTTGCTGCTTTATTATTTGGTCATTCATTTTCTGGGTCAGGGGTGATCTTTTGATAAATATTTTTCCTTTTTGCTTGCTTATTATCTGGTCTCCTGCTTCTTGTTTTCTCATTGTCTGTTGGCTTTTCTAAACAACTTTATACCACCGTTTGATATTTTGGATTTTGCTTTCTCATTATCCTATAGAATAAAGGACAAGTTAGGTTCTTAAATTTGCAGGGATCAATTTTGTGGTCTAAATTTTGCCTTTACTGATTATATGTGAAATCTGTATTTGAATTTTTCATATTTTTGCTAACATAGCCTGGTGCATGACAGCGAGGTAAATGTCCAACTCGTAGAAAAAATGAGATGAAAAGTTGATATATTCTCTGTGTGCAGGATTATTTTGTTTAGTCTAAATTTTTCATGGGATAAAATTGCTGCTTCTGTTTTCATGATGACTTCCAGTGTCATAGTAGGATTCTAAGCTATTTAGGCTAATTATATTTTACATATATATTCCAGTTAGTGATTCTGGCCTTATTTCATGTCAGGTTGCTGACTATAATATTGCAGCTGCACAGCAAGGCATAGTTTATATTGACGAAGTTGACAAAATCACGAAAAAGGTTTTCTCAAGCATACTTTCGTAAAGAAAATATATGTCAACACACACACAGAGTGTCTCAAAATCATTTATGTTAATGGTCCAACTCATTCCATTCTGTATCTGCAGTCTGAGAGCCTCAATATCAGTAGAGATGTGTCGGGAGAAGGTGTCCAGCAAGCATTGTTGAAAATGCTCGAGGGGACTGTAAGTGCTTTGCTTCACTTTTACCTTCTTGAAAACTGCAACTTTGCATATTACTATATTTCTATATTTTGTGCCAATCAAAAAATATTGGTCTCCACATTGCCCCATACTTACACATCAATATTAGTTCTGCTGTTCTTCCCATGAGGTTAGTAAGAGTTGTATGAAAATCCAGCAATGGATGTTATGATTTACCAAAATAAAATGTCTAGTGGGGCTACTTGTCTTCATCAACAAATTTTTAGAATTTTTTTCTTCATTGTACATTGATCAGTGAACCGTTCTTTTCCAGGTGGTCAATGTCCCAGAGAAAGGAGCTAGGAAGCATCCTAGGGGTGACAATATTCAGGTATTGGATGATCTGTTCTCACGTCAATGACGGGGATTAGTCACATAATGCTTATTGCTGAAAGCAGCTAGTGCTGATATTGGTGGGGTATGATTTTTAGGGATGATATAAAGAATGGTGAACTTGTACAGTGTGTTTGTGGGATTTTTTATGGTGCGTGTGGGGGTGGGGTTGGGGGTGGGAGTAAACTCAGAGCATTGCATCCCCTTTTCTGTTGACACTGAACTATAGTATCCAGCATCTTTTATGATTCTTTGATCATTTTTAATTAGTTACTTCTTTGATCTACTCATTCTTATCGTTGTTATAGTTTGTCGCATGTATTGGTCTATGTATGTCTGCACGTCCATTCTGCTGTTTCAAGATTAATCTGGATGTTGGCTTCTCATTGACTCCTCATACTTTGTACAAAGCCATACATGGTCTATGCATCCTAATGTTTCATTACATATTGATTTTATGTTTCCGCAGATTGATACAAAAGACATTCTCTTTATATGTGGTGGTGCCTTTATTGATTTGGAAAAAACGATCTCAGAAAGGTACTTATAAATCTAATATTCTAAACTATTCTTTTGTCGAGTTAACTTTGGTATCTATTACAGAATATAAATTACTAAACTTCACTTTTCAGGCGTCATGATTCTTCTATTGGTTTTGGTGCACCTGTACGGGCAAACATAAGGACAGGCCACGTTACAAGTGCTGCTGTGGCATCATCTTTACTAGAAACCGTGAGCCTCATAGCAGCTTAATGTCCTTTCTTGCATGTGTGTGGAGAGCAGTATTTTCATGTACACTGGAGACTAACTGCATGATAGAATAACTTTGGAGTATTTCTGCAAGAGAGTGTGACAAGCTGAAATCATGTTGTTACTAGCATATTTGTGCGTATTCCATTTTTAATAATATGACGATTAACCTCATGAAAGCATAATTGTCACTCTGTTAGAATTATCATGTTTTGCAGGTTGAAAGTAGTGATCTAATTGCATACGGCCTAATACCTGAGTTCGTTGGACGATTTCCCATCCTTGTTAATTTGGAAGCACTTACTGAAGATCAACTTATTCAGGTATCAATTTTATCTGCAAAATCTGTGTTTATTTGCTGTATTCAACAATCAAGTTTTCCTTTAATGCTATTACCTTCTCGACTTGAAGGTTATGATGATAACAATGTTGATTTCCTTGGCCATTGAGAGATGATAACCAGAATAGATATAAAATTTTTCTTATGGCTCGTGCAGCATGAAATATTATTGTTATTTTACTTTACAGGTTTTAATGGAGCCTAAAAACGCTTTAGGGAAGCAGTATAAGAAGATGTTCCAAATGAATGACGTAAGTTTTCACATTCCTCTCTCCGCTGGACTTTGGTTCTATTTAGAGAAAGAATTCATTTAATTTATCTCCCTTCCCATGTTGAGCTCGGGTGTTCTTCTTTTCTTCTTCTTCATTCCCTTCTTCTTCTTTTTTTTTTTTTTTTTTTTTTTGGAGGGGTGGGGTGGATATGTAATTTGGGTAGTTAGGGGAGAGGATTAATGACCTCCAATAGTGTGTCTTTTTATAGTAAAAAGTAATGCATCACATGGATAATTTTCAATAATGGTCTCATTTCTCAGGTGAAGCTTCGTTTCACTGAAGATGCATTGAGATTGATTGCTAGAAAAGCAATAACCAAGAATACAGGAGCTCGGGGTTTGCGATCTATGCTAGAGAATGTTTTGATTGATGCTATGTATGAGGTTTGTATTCCTCTTCGAATTTTATAAAAAGTCAGGAATTTTAGACAATGCCGTCTCTAGAATATTATTTACTGGTTGGACTTAGAGATAAAGGTCACAAACGGATGTCTGGAGCATTTGTCATGCATCTCCATGAACCAGCCGTATCATGTGTCTGAACAGAAATGGGTTATGATTCACAAGAGTTAGGAATTAATTTTTTTGGTTCCATTAGGAATTCTGATCGCCATCTGCTATCTGTCAAACTGTTTTAGTACGATACTCAACACATGTGGCAAGTGGATCAAGCGTGAGGTTAAATCTATTCTAGATAAGCAGGTAAAATTTAAAATAATGTCAAGTAATATATAAGTTGGTAGTTGAATTTTTTTGCAAATGGATGAATTTGGCTTGTAGAGAACCAACTTCAATTTTCTTTTCAGCTTCAGACACGAGGGGAAAAAATAGGATTTATTATTGGTTTGTGAAAATTTACATCTAGTATCGTAATAAATTAATAATTAGTCATTTTTTCGTAACAATGGGAAGGATTAATGATTTGAGAAGCTTACGTATATATGAATGTCATACTATGAAGTTGAGTTCATGTCAAGGAGATCTACTGTGGAAGTCATGATGGAGAATTATAGGGTAACCAGTTTGGCAGTCGAACATCATCTTGCGAGATAATCAAATATTGAGCGCCTCTTTTATTTTATTTTCATCTTCCCTACCCCTCTCGCTTTCTTCCTTTTGATGGTGAATATGAATCTCTCTCTTGCAGATTCCTGATGTTAGAACAGGAGATGATATAATAGATGCTGTTCTAGTAGATATGGAATCCATTGGATCTGAGAAACGTGGTTGCGGGGCTAAAATCCTTTATGGTAAGGGGGCACTGGACCGCTATCTTTCAAAACACAAGTTAAAGGATTCAGAGGTATGGTAATCATGCAAAACTTTGGACATCTCAATATTTTTCCGTATTTCCTGTTTTGTTATAACTCTCTTCCTACAGTATTGCATGGATGTTTATTTTGCGTTACAGGCATCTGCGGATGGGTCTGAAGGAGAATCTGAGGTGGAACCGGAACTTCCTTCAATTGTTGCATTGTAAACTTCCGATGAGGTCCGTGTCTAGTCTCGCTATGTACTATATAAATTAAAACGACAATATTTGCTAAATTTAGAGTCTAGTTGCAGATTTATTGTACTTAATTTTTTTATAGTTCATAGATCCATTGCCAAAATGCCCCCCCCCCCCCCCCACATAAATATCGAAAGTGGACCGTTAATCAATAAATGTTTAACCACTGCTGCATTTTCTTGTGTATGGTTGGTTACTTTGTTTTGAATGTTAGTTGTTCCATGTTGTTAGTGTCATGTTCTAGTCTCTCTCTTGAGAGTGCCAGGTTGATGGATGTGAAATGAATCAAAACGGTACTCTAGCGCAGGTTGTTGATGTTATCAAGAAAGTTTGCCGTTCACTAGCAGACGATGAGTGGCAGCAGCGGCTAGTGGTGGTGGCCGAGCAGGGTTGACGTTTATATTCTGCCATTGGCTGCTGGTAAGGTCGCTAGCAGAAGTCAAGCTGGTGCTTATGTATTGAATAATTGGCTTATTTTAGGGATCAAGTTGTTTGGTCTGGCAAGTGGGGACTAGAATAACCTAGGAAGACTTGGCATGGTCCACAGGACATAATTTGAGGCAGTTGCAACTCTTGACCTTGTAAACATTTTGGCATGGTTATATTCTCTTTGTGGGTCTTCAACTTCTTTAAACGTTTTAGTGGACGTTTGACAAAGCTTTTAAGGGCTTATAAGCTGTGAATCTCAAGAAATGAGTGAATAAAAAGTATGTTTGATGAGATTTAAAAAGAAAAGTTGAGCTTCGCCAAGCATGTTCGAAGGTCAAGCTGTCCTAGTACAATTGCGGCGATAAAAAAATCTTTCCTCTCGAGGTTTCAAGGCGGAATGTTTTCTTATACCCCACAAGGTTGATAGATACATGTCTACAATGTTAAGATGATCGGCTCTAGACAAGCTTTATAGATGACAACTTGTCAAAGGCTATTATGAGTTCAAGATAAGTGGCAATGATAAAATTGTGTTCCAAAATAGGTGGCAACAAAAATGCTAAATGGACAGAGCCTTTGGACACCGCAGCCCCCTGTGATAGGGCATATCCATATTCGAGTTTCATTTTATTAATGTTACACAAGGAATGTGTCTTAAAAGTGCGTGAGTGTTTATCACGTTGTACTAATATAATAGTTACCATGATTTTTTATTTTATTTTTAAATACGTATAACGTTCTTTTTTTTTTTTTTCCTTGCCCTAAAACATGTGGAGTAAATGTGTAATACTATAAGTTCGAATGATTAAGAACTAAGATTAAAGTTTTAAGTTTGAATATTCAAAAAGTACTTCTAGAGAAAGAGAATAAGATTCATGTTTATATTGACGATTTTGATTCTTGAAATGCACTTTATACAAAGCGAGAATTAGATTAATATTTTGATTATTGAATCTGAACATTCTAATTTTCGATTGTTCTTGACTTCATATTATTTTCTTAAATGGATTGTATAGAATTTTGTTTAGCCGAAATTACATTTAGCCATGGTATTTTAATTCCCAATTCAAAAATCAGATTTGAAAGTTATATGTTTAAAAATCATGTAAAAGCCTAAATTTTTAATATTATAAGTTAAATTAATTTACCCTAAACACCCACGCCATCCAACCCAAACCAAATACATCTTTAAAAAATATTTTCAATTGTTTCTTCAATTTCCACTTCCACTAGACCCCACCGCTCCGATGACTCTTCACGGCGCTCGTGTGCATGAAGAAGGGGCATAGCGCCAGCCCGCGTGTCCTTCATACCAGCACCTCACCCATCATTAGTAGCTGCACATGTGCCCATCGCCATTTCTCTCTCTCTCTCTCTCCCCCCCGCCCCCCCCTTTCCCTTCTGTATCCTTTTCTCTGGTTAGTGTGGTGGTGCGGTCGTTTGGGGATTTTCCAAATGGTTGCTAACTTGAGATGCGTCACATTTTTTCGACGGCGACTCGAACGATCTCTCTTTATTCAACATTAATTCTCTTCTCCGGTGACTTCTCTCCAACGCTGCGTGGCACCGTTTTGGGTGGGTGGTTTTCTGATATGTGATTGCGTGATTTCTATGGGTATGGTAATGTTGGAAGAAATGATGGATTTTAGTAGGCGATGGTTGTAGTAGTGCGATTGTTGATTGGAGTTGCAGGTGAAGGTGGTGGGTGGTAGTTGGAGCAAAAAGTTTTTGGGGGTGGCAGCGATGATATGTGTGGTGGTCGGTGATGGCGATGGCCGGAAGAAATAGTGGAATTTAGTAAGTGGCGGTGGTTGGAGTTGTGTGTGGAGGTGGTGGTACGATGTCAACGAGTCGAGTCGAGTCGAGCCAGCTTACAAGTCGAAACTCTTGGCTCGGGCTTGGGTAAAATGTGCTGATTTTTTTTCGAGTCCGAACCGAACCGAGTAAAAGTTCGACCATAAAAATTAGGTTCGACTCGAGCTTTCGGCTCGGGCCTTTTCGAGCCGAACCGGATAGGCTTGCTTTTTATGCCTTTTTTTTAATTTAATAATTAGGCAGCCAGCACTATTAAGGTAGCTTTTTTGGGGGGGGGGGGGGGGTTCTATTTTTATTTATTTATTTTAATAAATAGGCCTGTGTGCCAGCTCGGGCTTGGCCTGTTCTTCCCGGATGGAGCTCGGCCCGAGTCTCGAGTCGAATCGATTTGTGCTTTTTTCGGGTCGAGCCATGGGCGGCTCGATCCGACGAGTCGAAATACCATCTCTAGGTGGTGGTGGAAATGGTTGGTGGTTGTTGGATCAAGCGGTTATGGGGATAGCAGTGGCGATGTGTATGGTGGTAGTGCTATTAGCAATGGTGTGACGACAATTGTCGACGACGGCGGTGAAGATTGTATGAGAGAGAAACCAATAAATTGGTTAATTTGTGATATAAAAAAAAACGTTTGATTGTCACTAAATTTGAAATCGTGACTAGAATTGGGTAAGTTGTGACCAAATAATTTAATAATTTGTAATTGATAAATAACTTGTGATCAAATAATTCAATAATTTGTTACAATGAAATAAGTTGTGACTTCCGAAATTTGTAATTTGTGACTATAATTTTTTTGACTTTGACTATATTTTTTTTTATTGTGATATGTGAATAAATTGTGATCTATAAATTTTTTTATTTGTGAGGGTGAAATAATTTGTAACCTATAAATTTTTATATTTGTGATCGAGAAATCACTCGTGATTAATTCGATAATTTGTGACGAAATTATATAGAATTGTGATCTTAATATCTTTAATTAATAAACTATAATTTTAATTAATTATTTCATAAATAAAATTTAATTAATATCTGATTTTTGAAATTTTAAATCTTGTTTTTTAGTTGAAATGAGTAATACTTAATCTCTTAGAGCCAATTTGAGAGTGATTTTGAGAATTGATTTTTTGACCGTTAAAAGAAAAGTGAAGCCCACTTGTAAGAGAAGAAGTCAAATATGAAGGCTGAAATAGTGAAATGACGGTTAAAAAATCAATTTTTTGGAGGAAAAAATTGCTCCCAAACAGGCCTTATATTCAAATTTTCTAGCTTTTGAGGAGGGATTAACTTGTGATTTTTGACTTGGTACAAAGTGAACGAAGTGCACTTAATCTTAAAATCATATGAGTAAGCATGGTTGACTTTTTTTCGTGGTGTTGTTAGAAAGCAATAAATTTTTTTCATATATATATATATATATATATATGACCAAGTATTTGTGAGGGATTTTTGGTAGTTTAAAAGCACTTACGTTTGTTTTTTGTTGTGGTCCAAAGGTGTGTATTGACAAGATAAATGCTCTGTACGGAAATATTATACAACTAGTTTCGTTGTGGTTCAAATCAATAGATAGATTAGTTGTACAAAATCATTGTACGATTAGTTTAATTCTATTAACAAAGTTGAAATCAACGTTATCTATACCTGTTAATTTATAGTAACAATACCTGATTTGTAGATTTATATGAGATTTAAAGATTATTGATATATTTTTCCAAATTTTTATTTATTATTATTATTGTCTATTTGTTAATTTCCAATTTTTTTTAGGTCAGATCTTGAATTTGCTCTTCAATGATTATTAGTTTGAATTCGCTCATGGCCACTAAAGTGAGTACCCGTGTGAGTAGTAGAGGTACGCGTAAATTGGCCCGAACACCCATGGTCATAAAAAAAATAAATAAATAAAAAAGATCTCCAATGTATTTTTAGAAATGAAATTTAGGGGCCGTTTGAACCCCATTATTTGTAGATTATAATGAGATGAATAATGTTTTTTTTGAAAAATGAGTGGTTGAAAAGTTTTTAATTTATATTTAATATTATTTTATTGAAAATTATGTGGTTAAAAGTAGGAGAGAAAAAAAATTTAATTTAATGTAATGAGAAATAATAAGGTTCAAACGGGGCTTAAGATGAAGCAGCAATAATAATAATTTAAGATGATAAAGAATTATGGTACAATTTCATATCTTTTACGAAAGATCACTTATTAACTAGTCATATTTTAAACAAATAAATTTAAAAAGAATACAATTCATATTAAAAAAAAATTCTGCCACGACAATTAATTTTATAAGAAAAATATGTGAAATTAATAAATTAAGTATTTTCAAGTTTTTCTGCCAAATAATTAATTTAATTTTCACAACACTTTTTTATTGACAACCAAAAAATCAATACCTTTTAATAATCGCTTTTTTTGAAAATTTTTTACTGCTAAAAGCTTTATCAACAACTGTCGTGCCAAACATTCTCAACAAACATAACAACTACTTGAAATAACCTGAATTTATTTTTGGAATCAATGAGTTTTCATTTCATTTTCTGTCTCACATAGTAACACGTAGAGTGTGAGAGGGAGAGGGAGAGTGAGAGGGAGAGGGCAAAATAAAAAAAGGGGCTTTCATTTAAAAAGCCTAGTCAAACAAAACATTAGTTTAAAAAGTCCACAACCTAAGTTCTTTGGGTAAAAGGCCTAAAGATATGGAAAATGAAAAATATAATTTGTAAATGACTAAAATGACCTTACAAACAAAAAAGACAGTGCTACCCTAATTCCCATTTCAATTTCCATTTAACCCTAATTAAATTCTACCTTCCTTCCATTTGCTCTTCAAAATCGGCTATAGAGGTATGTAATTTGTTTCTTTATCATCATCATTTTTCTCTACTTAATGAAACCTTAAACTCTACATTCCATTTTCCTTGAACACTCATTTGGTTGAAGTAAGTAATAAAATCTTGCAATATCATTGTTGGGCATTTGGAGAAGAAGGGGGTGTTGTAATTTTCAATTTTTTGGTTAGTTTCTTTGTCCATTTTTTAAATAATTTCTTCATGTTGTTGTATATATATTTATGATTTTTATTTGAGAACAATGATTTTGAATTAATTTTATCATTAGATTAGAGTTTTGATATGGGTTGCTCTCAAACCCTTTTTCTCATTTCTGATCATCTGTATCAGTTAGAGTAAAATGTAAGTTGCAAAGGCATGTTTGGCTATTCTTTTTATTAACATACATTTAATTTCCGTCTGTACATAACGACTTACATGTCGTTTTCTGCAATCCATAACGACTTACATATCGTTATTAGCACTGTGCACTGTTTGAAATGTGATGAAATTTTTATATTGAATTATAGTTATGGACAACGTGAATATGGTATGGATATCAGTTTGTTTTCCAGTTGAATATGAGTAGTCGATTGAATGTGTTTTAAAATGAAAATATGCAGGGAATGACAAATAAAAACAACTCCTATTCTTGTTGCGAAAATTATTTCTTATATGTAATTATATGATAAAGTCAAAAAGGTGTTGAACATCAATTCACAACTTTTTCGGAATTTAATTGGAAAAATCGAATGATTAAATAATCTATTCACAACTTCAAATTGTTACGAGTACAGTCATAAGATATCGGTGGATTATATGTTTTTATTCCCAAATAAGATGGAATAAATCAATACCTTGAAATAGAAACCAATACCTTGGCTTTGTTGGAGCATACTTTTTTATTATTTCATTTATATTTATAATGGATAATTGATTTGGAATTATTTCCTACAAATTACATAACCATCGTGTGTGTTATCTTGCTCATTTACTTGCTTTCAATATAAAGATTCAGAAACTTGGATGTTTACTTTGTGATTTCGTACTGCAGCTCTCTTGAGGGACATGCTTACTCAACTTTGCTCTAAAAGGAATTGAACATAGCAGGTCAAATATTATGTCAGCCTTTCCCATCCTCGACCCAAAGAAAAATGGGGAACGTAGTTTTTTTTCCTTTTTCTTTAGGTGCTACTGCTGGTGACTTTTTTACATAGAAATAATTGATCCATCATTTTAAGCAATTTATTCCTTTAATTTCATCAAGATGTAGGTCGAAAGTGTGTGTGTGTATATGTGTGTAGGATAAAACTATAATGTAATGGCTGGCTTATATGCTAGGTGAACTTCCTGGTTTATCATCATAATTCATAATCCAAGTTCATAAGTTTGTGACAGTGCTGAGATTATAAATTATCAAAATTATTCAATGGATCCATAAAGACTATATTAATCGACCGTTCATTTTTATTTTTATAATTTTTTTCCAAAACATTCTTGCTTCTTGAAATTCTCGAGTAATAATCGTCTGAGATTAAGGTTGTAATATTTTCCTGACTTGTAACTTTATAATTTTGTGCTTATTCGAAGCACAAGATGATTTATTAAATTTTGTAATCATTGTGCTATTGAAATGTTTTTACACTATTGAAATGCAAACGACGTTCATATAGTTACAATTGATGTAAATGCAATCAATCTAATGACGATATATATTTTCTTCCTTCTGAAACAAAGTGTTTAAGATCGTTGTGGTACAAAAATGTATTAATTTTAATTACGAAATTGAAGTCGTTCTTGAAGCATAAAACGATATAGATGTCGTTCAAATAAAAAAAAGTAGAGTGAATAACATAACGATATTGAAACCGTTCCTGTAATAAAAAACGATTTCTATATCGTTTTAGTATGAAATACACATTGCTTAACTTATTTTGGTAATGACATCAAAGTCGTTATAACTATACATAAACGATATATAAGTCGTTCTAGTACAAAAATGCATTCATTCTAAGAATGATATGGAAGTCGTTTCTGAAAGTCAAAACGATATAGATGTCCTTCCAATAAAAAAGTGCACTGAACAACGTAACAATATTGAAGGCATGACGGATAGTTGTGGATGGTCAAATCTACTTTTAGCTAGAAGGATATAATTATCGTTTTATATGAAAAGAAACGGTATCTATATCGTTATACTTGTAATTTAAATTGAAACGATTTCAAACTATTCAAATTTGTACTAAAACAATATAAATGTCGTTACTTTATTTGTGATTTTATGCATAACGATATCAATATCGTTTTAATACAAATTTGACGACGTTGATATCGTTTTAGTTTAAATCATAACTAAAACTACATGCATATTGTTTCAGTTAAAATAAAACGATACTTATATCGTTTTTGCTAAAAATAATGATTCGACCGTCCACGACCACCGAACATGCATCTAACATATGTAGGATAATCAAAATAGGTAATCAAGTGGGTTCGATCTCCCTTTAAAGAAACTATGAGAACATTTTTGTTCTCATGATTGTATACCATCTTCAAACTATTTCGACAGAAAGTATTTTCGTTTGCTCTTTCCAAATCATTCGAGTGGTATCAACCCACTTGATGACCTCTTTCGATCGTCCTACGTATCCTAAAGGTATGATGGGTGGATGTGAACGGCCGAATCGTTATTTTTATCCAGAACGATATAATTATCGTTTTATATGAAAAGAAACGGTATCTATATCGTTATACTTGTAATTTAAATTGAAACGATTTCAAACTATTCAAATTTGTACTAAAACGATATGAATGTCGTTACTTTATTTATGATTCTGATGCATAACGATATCAATATCGTTTCAATACAATTTTGACGACGTTGATATCGTTTTAGTTTAAATCATAACTAAAACTACACGCATATCGTTTCAGTTAAAATAAAACGATACTTATATCGTTTTTGCTAAAAATAATGATTCGACCGTCCACGACCACCGAACATGCATCTGACATATGTAGGATGATCAAAATAGGTAATCAAGTGGGTTCGATCTCCCTTAAAAGAAACTATGAGAACATTTTTGTTCTCATGATTGTATACCATCTTCAAACTATTCAGACAGAAACTATTTTTGTTTGCTCTTTCCAAATCATTCGAGTGGTATTAACCCACTTGATGACCTCTTTCGATCGTCCTACGTATCCTAAAGGTATGATGGATGGTTGTAGATGGTCGAATCGTTATTTTTATCCAAAACGATATAATTATCGTTTTATATGAAAAGAAACGATATCTACGTCGTTATACTTGTGATTTGAATTGGAACGATTTCAAACTCATCAAATTTGTACTAAAACGATATGAATATCGTTACTTTATTTGTGATTTTGATACATAACGATATCAATATCGTTTCAATACAATTTTGACGACGTTGATATCGTTTTAGTTTAAATCATAACTAAAACTACACACATATCGTTTCAGTTAAAATAAAACGATACTTATATCGTTTTTGCTAAAAATAATGATTCGACCGTCCACGACCACCGAACATGCATCTGACATATGTAGGATGATCAAAATAGGTAATCAAGTGGGTTCGATCTCCCTTTAAAGAAACTATGAGAACATTTTTATTCTCATGATTGTATACCATCTTCAAACTATTTCGACAGAAAGTATTTTCGTTTGCTCTTTCCAAATCATTCGAGTGGTATCAACCCACTTGATGACCTCTTTCGATCGTCCTACGTATGTTGAAGGCATGACGGATGGTTGTGGACGGTCGAATCGTTATTTTTAGCTAGAACGATATAATTATTATTTTATATGAAAAGAAATGATATCTACGCCATTATACTTGTGAATTGAATTGGAACGATTTCAAACTCGTCAAATTTGTACTAAAACGATATGAATGTCACTACTTTATTTGTGATTTTGACACTTAACGATATCATTATTGTTTCAATACAAGTTTGATAATGTTGATATCATTTTAACTTAAATCATAACTAAAACTACGTACATATCGTTTCAGTTAAAATAAAACGACAATTATATCGTTTATGCTAAAAATAACGATTCGACTGTCTATGACCACCAGTCGTGCATCTGGTATATGTAGGATGATAAAAATAGATAATCAAGTGGGTTCAATCTCCCTCAAAAGAAACTATGAGAACATTTTTGTTCTAATGAAAATAAATGATATCTATATCATTATCATTGTGATTTGAATTGGAATGATTTCAAACTTATTAAATTTGTACAATGACGATTTGAATGTCGTTGTCTTATTTTGTGGGTTTGATACATAATGATACTATTATCGTTTCAGTACAATTTTGATAACATTGATATCGCTTTAATTTAAATTTTAACTGAAACGTTAATCATAAAAATGACGATTCGATCGTCCACGATCAATTATATGTAAATTTTAATTATATTTAATATCGTAGTTATAACGTTCTAGTGTAATCACTTCTGAAACGATATGTATGACATTATAGTTATGATTGAATAGGAACGATATCATTGTCGTCGAAAATTGTGAAATGACATAAACGTTGTTTACTTATTCCATAACGTGCGCTTAAACCTGTTAAACAGTGAAGTAATGTGTATTCGATATCGGAACGACATATACATCGTTTTTTGTACTTCAGGAACGAGTTTAATGTCGTTATACAAATCAGTTAAGCAGAGTGTATTTGATACTGAAATGATATCGAAGTCGTTTTATATTTCAGGAACGATTTCAATGTCTTATGCAAATCAGTGAAACAGTGTCAGCAGCTCATTTCTATTCCACATTTTCCAGATATTTAAAACTTTTTTCGCTTTGTTTGATGGGAAAACTTGTGTAGGAAGGACTAGCTTTTGTCTTTCATTAATTATGTAATCCAAATATCTATTGACCAGCCATTAAGATTAGTTTTCTACTTTTCTTTTAGTCGTGTAGTTTATTGATCTTATACTGAATAAAACTAAGGATCGAGTGGATTTAGTAGGAGAATTCATTAGGAGAAACTATCGGTGACAATTAGTTGTAAAAAAACAAAAGAGGAAATGAAACACGACATGACATGAAACATGGAAATGTTATTTCCCAAGAGTAGGACATGAAACTTTGTGGAAACGTTATATAAAAAAATTATTAATTTATATTTATAAATTCATCGTTTAACTTTACAAAACTATTTAATATTAAATAAATAGTAAAAATATTGCAATCATTCTAATATAACTAGAAAAACTGCAATCTTAAAAGTAATTATTCAAAATGAACAACATTCAAACTGAAGATAATTCAAATGTCTTGAATCATTTTCCTTCGAAAATTCTATATGTAGTGAATAATGATGTACTAGCATAATGTGCTACCAAATCTAAGTTGGGAAATAGGGTTGTGGGTTGTTCAAATTTTAAATTGATGGCTTGAATTGGGACAGTGACAGAGAGTTTACGGCATAAATTAATAAAAGTAGTGTAAAATTAGGTTAAGTTAATTTCGTTAAGCTATCTTACTTGAAGCACGTATTAGATTAATTTTGTCAAATTGTAGGACATCTTCAAAACAAAAACACTAGCTTTTTAGTAGTTTCCCTGCAACGAAGGGCGACATAACATGAAGAAAACTTTTCATTAAATGGACATTGTGACATGCTGTCAATCCAATAGAGTTCACAAGTATGACAAGTAATTTTTATTTTTTATTTTTTGTGGAAAACTTACACTAGAATATCTTGACTATTATACTTTTACATGTGAAATGTGGATGATATAATATAATGAGACTCTTCAAAATGAGTTCATGCAAAAATCTTGCTGATGTGCCTTTGAAATATTTCTCACTACGTTATAATCCATTTTACATTTAAATCAGTTTTCAAATGACTGTGAATCTATGATTTATCTTCAAGATATCATTTAACCACTGGTAGCGCAATTTATCAGCAAGGTGACGTGTTGTTTCATTATATAGCATGTAATGAATATACAATCTTAATGAACTTGTTATGGTCTTATCATTTAGCCGTAAATCAAATGTCACCTTTGAGAAACATCTCCAGTCTTTGTAGAATGAGCACATCGGATTGATCATTTAATATTTTTGCAGTGTCACAATGGGCACACACTTTGTTCTACCTGTAAGACGCGGGTGCATAATCGATGTCCTACATGCAGACAAGAGCTTGGGGATATTAGGTGTTTGGCACTAGAGAAGGTTGCAGAGTCGCTTGAGTTGCCCTGCAAGTACTTTTCTTTGGGATGTCCAGAAATATTTCCTTATTACAGCAAACTTAAACATGAGGGAGTTTGCAATTTTAGACCATACAATTGTCCATATGCTGGGTCAGAGTGCTCAGTTACAGGGGACATTCCTTGTCTAATTACCCACTTGCGAGACGACCATAAAGTGGACATGCATACGGGATGTACCTTCAATCATCGCTATGTAAAGTCAAATCCTCGTGAAGTAGAAAATGCCACCTGGATGCTAACGGTAAGTTCACTATATTCTTTTATGTTATTGGGTCACTTAGTTGTAAGAATATTATACTGTGCCTATTTTGTTGTTATTCTCTATTTCATATTATGGGTCAGCAATTGATTATATAAAGTCCTATTATTTGCCATTCATAGAATTCTTGCTCTTCATGCCCCATCCACCCCACCCATTTGTTTTGTGTCGCTTCAACTGTTTTATGAATATTGTTGAACTGCTTGATTTAAAAGTTCAAGTTGTTGGATAAGGTCACATATATACTATTTAAGTAACTCACCACCTCACGTAGCGGTGGGTTTCATTCTTTTTTTTTTCATTAAAGCTTAACACGTGCACAATTTTGTTTTCATTAAACGGGTGATGACTAGACTTGAACGTAGGACCTTTGCCTATGCTTAACCTTGTTGTGTCTTAAAGTACAATTCATGTTCGAGATTTCCAAATATTGAGCTACAAGATTAGGAAAAGAAATTAGGATTATTTTATTTGATGTTTCATTTGACTTGTGATGTTGTATCTCTTAAAAGTAAACCAGGGAACATCATTCTATTTCTTATTTTCCGTTAAATAGTTATGTGACTCCTCGAAATTTCTATAGCCTCAACCATATTAACGAGGAAGAATCGTTATTATGATGTCTAGTAATCTTTATCAAACATGCGCGTGGTGAATGTTTCAGTAATGTTGTTCTTGTTGTTCGTTTATTAGGTATTCCATTGTTTCGGTAAATATTTCTGCCTTCACTTCGAAGCATTCCAGCTTGGCATGGCCCCTGTCTACATGGCATTTCTGCGTTTCATGGGCGACGAGAATGAATCCCGCAACTACAGCTACAGTTTGGAGGTGGGCGCAAATGGCAGGAAACTCATATGGGAAGGTACTCCCCGTAGCATTCGAGATAGCCACCGCAAGGTCCGGGACAGCCATGACGGCCTTATTATACAGCGAAATATGGCACTTTTCTTTTCTGGTGGGGATAGGAAGGAGCTTAAGCTTAGAGTTACTGGGAGAATATGGAAGGAACAGCAAAATCCAGATTCCGGGGTGTGCATACCAAACCTTTGTAGTTGAAGAAGTCGATTTTGAAGCAACTTGTATGGGTTTCCCATGCGTGTCTGCATCATGGTGTGTTGTCTACAAGAGACTCCATGAATGTGTTGTGTTAGCAATATTGTGCTTGATGATGTATCATAGTTTGTTAAAAGCCTTTGATTGCCAAATATTTTAGCAGCTTAAATTATTATTCGAATGTCAATTCGTCCTAGGGTTGGCAACGGTTCGGTTATGGGTCGGTTCGACCAAAATCATAACCGCACCACCAAAATTTTGACCATACCATAACCGCACCATAATCACGTAAATCGGTTCGGTTCGGTTTGGTTTTTATCTCGGTTCGGCACCGTTCGGTTCGGTTAATAAACACGAAAATAAATTATTTTTTATAGGTTCATCTGTCAAATTGATATAAAACAATTTATGAAAAAAGTCAATGAAAACAAAAACACAATAATCTAAACGAAAATGCAAACATTATCAAACAATATTCCAAACATAAATGTAAACATTATCCTAATTTTCAATTGTAAAATATAAATTTAACAAACAATATTATAAATATAATAATACTAAACTTTTCCTTCATTCTTAATTGTTGTGCATTGAAGTTACATGATGCATTCATCCCTACAAGTCTTACTAGTATAGATCAGCATTCAAAGTTGATTCCTATTCATCCTTGGCAATATTGGCATGTCTAGAAAAATATCGAACTTTGTTTTTACATGATCGGTAGTAATAGAATGACTAACAAATATAACAAATTTTCGGAGGCGACGACGATTTGGACCGTAGAGGCAATGGAGCCGTGCGTGAGTTTATGGTTGTGGAGAGTAGGGTTTACATTTATATACTGTCATACTAATGCTATTATGGGCTAATGGTAAGTAGACTGGTCGAATGAGTCAGGTAGATGTAATGAGGAGGGGAGGGATTTTGTTTTGATTTGGATAGAAAAGTAGTGTAAAGTCCATTATCAATTCAATATTTTTTTTTTAGCGGGTAATCGGTTCGGTTTCGGTTCGACGACGTAAATACCATACCCGCACCATTACGAACCGGTTCATTAAAATCAAAACCATATCCGTCCCATTGCACCATCGGTTCGATTTTTTTCGCCCCATTCGGTTCGGTTAATCGCGGTTTTCGGTTTTGACGGTTCAAATTGCCATCTCTAATTCGTCCTCGAACCATGTTAGTATCCAACTTAGAGGCATCAAAGGGGACGGACCAAGATGAGGCCTTGAGAGAACATGGCTAACCGGGCTCGTCCAAAAATGGGCGAGCTCGGCGCTCGTGGGCCGAGCCGAGACCGGCTCGCGAGCACACGCCTTTTTGTGTGTGTGTGTGTGGGGAAACAAATAGGTAAATTGGAAAATAAAAAAGTAATTTTAATTTTTAAATCGTGAATTTTTTATATAAAAAATTTTTATATATAAAAAACTAAGTAAAAAATTTAACGGCCATGCTAACGGTACATCGGGGTGTACATCACGGTGTACACCCCCCTCACATGGGTGGGGGGTCCACTCGAATATTTTATTCGAGTGGGTTCCCCCATGTAAGAGGATGTACACCTTGATGTACAAAAGTTGATGTACCACTAGCATTTTTCAAAATTTAAACCCTCCTCCTTTATTCTGGTTTGGGACCGATTACTTAAATTTAGAGTAGGCGGAGTTAAAAATTGTGTTCTTTGTTCGTGTGCAATTTTTTAAAGAAAATTTAAAACAGTATTAAAAATTAACTTTTCAAGCAACGCTGCGCGTCCTCTTGCATATAATTTTTGAAATAAATCCTTTATAAAAATTGAAAGGATAATCGAATGCCCTTTCAATTGTTAGAAGTCTTCACTTAGAAAATCATATAGAAATCTTTCACTTCGAAGATTATATATAATTTTCGAAGTGAAAAACATCTGACAATTGAAAGGGCAATCATTCGATTACCCTTTCAATTTTCAGAAGGAATTTACTTCGAAAATTATATGCAGAGGTACGCACAACGTTGTTCGAGAAAAAAAATTTAAAATGTAGACATATAGCAGTAATAGTACTAAATACTAATAAAAATTAAACTAAATTGGTGGAAATAAATTTTTTGTTTTTTTTTTAACGAAAAGAGATTTTTAACTAAAAGAGATAGAAAAAAATAAAAATGAAATCTTTATTTTTTTATTTTTATTTTTAAAATAGATAAAATATAAATTCTCTTCCTTTACCGGGTTTGGGACCGACTACTTAAATTTTCAGTAGGCGAAGTAAAAAATTGTACACAAACAATTTATTGTAGCGTGTACAATTTTTTAAAGAAAATTAAAAGAAACGATAAAAAAAGAAAAGTTTCATGAATATAATTAAATCAAATATCACTTACTTGACGATATGTAATTTCGGCATATTTATTTTGTAGTCGAAAATGAGCGTCCTGCTAATCCTTAACGCAAATTACCGCTTCTAAAATATCTTCTTTCAGTCGGCTCCTAACCTCGCTTAAAACTCTTTTACCTGCACTAAAAGCAGACTCCGAAATAACAGTGCTAACCGGAGGTGTCAGCAGATCTTTTGCAATCGCAGATATAACTGGCCAACGTTGTTCATACCTTCGCTAGAATTCAATTATTTCGTCTGAACTTTTTTTAATTGTTTTATCCGTTGGCATATTCTGGTTAAAATAATCAATTAATTCAGCAGGCAATGTATTATGGCTTGAGCCTGTAGATGTTTGATGAGAATGAGATACAGATGTAGACGACATGACAGTGGCAGTAGATGAACACATTGCAGATGAATCATATCTATACGAATTAATGCCTTGAAATAAATTAAATATTTCCGCATCTTCTTCTTCAATTTCAGCTGAAGGAGTAGGTACAGATGGTACCCGACTAATATTGGTACTCATTCGGCTCACATATAATTCATACATTTCACATAATATTTGCTCTAAATTTCTAAATGTGATAGGTGTATCAAATGTTAAGGTGTTTGAAATTTAATCAATTATATATTTAGTTCTCGATAAATTATATCGGAGGTCCATCACGCATGCTAAAGGAAATAACATAGGCAAGTCTTCCCAATATTTTCTAAATTTTAATTTCATAGCAATTCTAATTTCACTAAAATCAGGGTCATTTTTGTATTTATGAAATGTTTTTACAATTATATAAAGACGTTCAAGTACCATACAGTTGGTGGGATAGTAAACGTCCGATAAAATCTTAGTAGTTTCATAAAAAGATGTTAAAAATCTTTTAACTTTCAAAGTTATTTGCCAATCACGTTCAATTAACATACCATCATCATCACTTCTAACATATCTATTATTATAAAAGTCAGTTATTCAATGTTCAAAACCTTCATATGACTTTAATAACAAGTAAGTAGAGTTTCCACCTATGACTTACGTCGCTAACAAATGTTTTAATATTTTGCACTCCTATTTCGTCACAATAATCCTCAAATGCTTGTTTTCTACTTGGGGAGATTGTGATATATATTAGTGCGTTCTTAATATTTTGAAGTTCATCCTTTATATGTTTTAAAGCATCTTGGACAATTAAATTCAAAATATGACATACACAACGAATATGAAACAAATACCCACCAAAATCAGGTTGTAGTACCCTATGTAATTTATCGACAACTACTTTATTAACACTAGCATTATCGAAAGTAAATGAACGAATTTTACTTTCGCAATGATATTTTCTAACAATACTAATAATAGCATTAAATATATTATTAGCATTGTGAAAAAACTCAATAATTCTAAAAGTAATAATTTTTTTATGCATGAATCAAAGAAGGTCTATATAATGTGCAGTTGTAGCTATATATGCTCTTTTATTAATCCATTCTCATATATCCGAAGTTAAAGATATGACACCCCCATATTTTTGCAAATCCATAATTAATTGTTGTTTTGTTTTCAGTAAAATATTGTATTGTATCGGAACGAAGAGTGTTTCGACTTACTCCAATGTATCTTGGCTGCAGATATTCTTTCACATAAGGGACGTAGTGTTAGTTGTCAATTAATGTCAAAAACAACTCAGCACCAGCAACAAGCTTCACCATTCTGGTTCGAGCTCTTTCCTCCGAATACACCCATGTGGATAGGGGTGCAGCAGAACCACCGGCGTTTGGACTGCCAAATTGTAATTGTGTTTGACAGCTTGGAATAAGTTCGCGTTTGGCCGCACATACTTTGTAATGACGGTTGAAATGGGTGGTACCAATTTCTCTTTGCCATGCCAATTTTTGTTGGCAGTATTTACATACTACTTTGGATTCTGGGACTCCATTGACGATTTTTTCCGTTGAAATTAACTTAAAATGATCCCAAAATTTTGCTTGTTTTTTCCCTTTTCGCTTTCCCCTCACATCAGGAATGTTTAATTTAGCATCTTCTTCTGGATTGTGTTCGCTTCGGAAACGTTAACATCATCCAAATTAATTGGATAATTTGGATTGTCGCTTACATGATGATGAAGATCCAAATCTGGAATATTTTCAGGTAGGGGTACGTCATTTAGACCTTCAAATTGATTTCGAAATTGACTTTGTAGTGTCATAGGCGATTCGTTTCCTCTCACACCGAACTAGTAAAAAAATAATTGTATAAATGTAGTGAGAAATGAAAATTGGATGAAATTTCAATAAATATAGTGAGAACTGAGAAATGAGAATTTGATATTGCACAAATTGTATATAAAAATTACACAACTATCAACACAATACAAGAGAGTTGAGAGAAAGAGAATTGAGAGTTGAAAGTGAATTGTAGAAATTTTTTTTGGCTAAATGCCACTATTTATAAAAGAAGAAGAGGGAAAACAATAAATAATTAAATAATTAAAGGACCGAAACAGTCACTGAAAAAATTCAGTGACTGTTAACGGTCAAAAAAATAAAATAAAATAAATAAATAAATAAATTTTCATGCGGTCACTTTTTAAAAAAAGTGATCGTTTCGGTCACTTTATAAACGAGCCCACGAGCTGGGCTCGTAGCTCGTTAAAAATGAGCGAGCTGCTCATTTAATTTGCGAGCCCGCTCGGCTCGCCCACCGAACTGGCCCGCTCGACTCGCGCTCGGGCTCATGTTTAAAAAGTGAGCGTTTTGATCACTTTATAAACGAGCCCATGAGCTGGGCTCGTGGCTCGTTAAAAACGAGCGAGCG